CAAATATCCCCGTATAATACGCAATGAAGCACTGTACAAGCGCACTGGCTCCAAGCCACTCAGCAGAATCATCCAGTCTGCTAGGTGGAGAATGTTTGGCCACATGCTTCGACTAGACACCTCATCCCCGGTCCAGCAGGCTATGTCAGCATACTTTCAGCCAGGAAGCTCAGGGTTCCGAGGCCGCCCGAGAACAACACTCCCGCGATCCATCAACAACGACCTGAAAAATTCCAGATCCACAAACTCCCTCACATCACACGAGGATCTAGTTGCACTGAGGCAGCTCGCCCAGGATCGTCGAAAGTGAAAGGAACTAATGTGTGCTGTGTGTAATGGCTGAAGTTATACAATTACACTAGATACCCTTAACAATAATAACGGATACAATTACACTAGATACCCTTAACAATAATAACGGATACAATTACACTAGATACTCTAGATACTAGATACTTGGTACTCTAGATACTAGATACTCTAACAATTTTATCAAACATTATGATAATTACCACATCAAATGCTGCGGAGACCTATCCAGAATCGGCAATATGCTGGCCCTGGCCTGGAGATCTGCAACTATAATCAGCTTCTACTTTGCAACACTAACGGATTAGTCCCCTTTGTCGATTGATGGATCAATCGGTAGATTCGGCTCTGTTTTTCTTTCCTTTCTTTCTTGTTTTGAATTGTACGTTGAACTCATTGGATTTCTTTGTATTCTGTATCTCGTTATCGTTATATTTCCCTCTAGCCCTCTCGCTTAGGATGAGCTTTCTTTTTTATGGCAGCTTAATGCCAACGCGAACAAGCAAAATAATAATAATAATAATAACAAAACCGCACACCATTTGACGGCACAAAGCAGCAAGGCAGCGATGAGATATGTGGAATGGCAGGAGTGGGGGAGAGGCAGGGGCAGCTTGACCGACCATAGGGTCTCGGCTTCATTGCAACCCAAGCGCTCCACAAAAACAAAAGATTACAGAAAATACGCAGAGGGGGGGGGGGGGGGGTAGATAACTGGGGATTACGGGGAAAAGTATGCACAATAAAAAGTTATCAGAGAGTCAACGAAGTGAATGGAGGAGGGAACAGAGTTAGAGCTTTTTTTCGTCTTTTTTCTTTGATTCATAGCCTGTCCGTTGCCCACTCCCAGCGGGTAAGGCGCAGGTGGGCATTGACCTTTTCTTTGAACGTCTGCAGTCGTTTCCTTGTTGGCTGGTTCAGCAGAACGCACTGCGGGAGCTGGTTCCAGACCTCCACAACAGCGTCAGGGAAGGACCAAAGGACATCATTCCGTACTCTGGGCGGAAGAGTGGAAGTGAGCTGAAACTGGTGTGAGGGATGCTTTTGTGTGCGTCGGCTATGGCGTGATGTGTTGGTCGCTCGGGGTGGAAGAAGGGTGAGAAGCATGTCTGGGTCAGTTGAAAAGTGGAGCTTGTACAGAAAGTGGAGTGCTCCAACCATTCTGCGGATGTCCAAGCTAGGGAGGTAGGCTCCATTACCGATTAGGTGAAGGCCACGGCGTTGGATGGCAGTGAGGCGAGCCAGAGTGGTGGGTGCAGCGCTCATCCATACGAGCATGCCGTACTCCAAAACAGGGCCGACAAAGCCCTTGTAGATCACTCCACGGCACCTGGAGTCCAGCACTCGCGAGGCTTTCCGGAGGAAGCCGAGACGCTGCGAGCCTCGAATAGCCAATTGCCTGATATGAGCTGTGAAGGACAGGTGTTGGTCAAACAGCACACCCAGCAGCTTCAGCTGGTCGACTTCCAGAACAACTGTGCCCTGGAATACAATCGGTGGGACGACGACTGTGTTGCGATGGTGAGAAATCAGGAGAGACTGAGACTTTGTAGGTTCAAACCTAATGTGCCAGGCCATTCCCCAGTCTGCTAGCGCATTTACAGCAAGCTGGAGTGTGGTAACATCTTCGGGTACGGCAGTATTGGTCGATATGCACTTGTACAACGTGGTGTCATCAGCATACGCAGCAGGCTGGGCCCCAGCAGGTTGCTGATCCTCAGCATCATTCGTATAGAGAAGGAATAAAGTCGGGCCCAAGATCCTACCCTGGGGGACGCCTGACATGATGAGGTAAGCAAAGGAGGACTGTCCGCTCACTACAGCCTGGAGCATGCGGTTGGTGAGGTAGCTTCTGATCCCAGATTGTTACTCTCATTCAAGTCAATGTTTTATTATATCAGAGAGAGACAGAGACACACAGGCAGACAGTCAGACAGAGAGAGAGACAGAGACAGACAGTCAGACAGAGAGAGAGAGAGAGAGAGAGAGAGAGAGAGAGAGAGAGAGAGAGAGAGAGAGAGAGAGAGAGAGAGAGAGAGAGAGAGAGAGAGAGAGAGAGAGAGAGAGAGAGAGACAGAGACAGAGACAGAGACAGAGACAGAGACAGAGACAGAGACAGAGACAGAGACAGAGACAGAGACAGAGACAGAGACAGAGACAGAGACAGAGACAGAGACATAGACAGAGACAGACAGTCAGGCAGAGAGAGAGAGACAGACAGGCACACACACACACACACACACACACACACACAGATAGATATACAGAAAGACAGCCGGACAGACATAGATTGACAGAGAGAGAGAGAGAGAGAGAGAGAGAGAGAGAGAGAGAGAGAGAGAGAGAGAGAGAGAGAGAGAGAGAGAGAGAGAGAGAGAGAGAGAGAGAGAGAGAGAGAGAGAGAGAGAGAGAGAGAGAGAGAGAGAGAGAGAGAGAGAGAGAGAGAGAGAGAGAGAGAGAGAGAGAGAGAGAGAGAGAGAGAGAGAGAGAGAGAGAGAGAGAGAGAGAGAGAGAGAGAGAGAGAGAGAGAGAGAGAGAGAGGGTGGGAGGAAGGAAGGGAGGGATGGAGGGAGAGAGGGAGAGAGAGTTGTCATCTAGAGCAAGGCCCTTTAACGGTACATGATTGTATCCTGTACGCAGCAGCATTCGGCCTTGGTTGTCATGGTAGTCCACATTGACTTCGGTCTGACACGGGGTGAAGCTGCCAATGACACCGCGTCACTAGCAACTTACTTGTCGTGAAAACAACCCTTGCTGGCTGGCCAGAGCAGTGCACGTTAGTTCTTATACTTATAATGCTGAACATATTGTATGTTGACATAGCGCAGACCAGCTGAGTAAAACTGTGCACCAAGACTGTGTGGTTCTCAGCAATCGGATATAAACTCAGAATTTCAAGCACAAGGTCAAGGTGATGGGTTGAGGATGCAATTTTCATTTACTAAAGTAACGCATGTTACTCACACAGCAGTCCTCTGCAGATTACACAGCAGTCTGATGCTTTGGTGGTAAACTGAGCATCAGACTCCTGTGTAGTAACCCCCAGTACATCACCATTTCCAGACAACACACCCTGCATACAACACACAACAGACTTTGTTTTACACTGAGTTTCCAACGGTGGTGTACATGTACATGTAGTGATATTCGTAACAACCCCGAGAGGAGAAACCCTGAGTGAGAGAGTTGAAAAAGGAAAACGGTGGTGTATTTAACGTGTGTGTATCGCCCGTCGAGACGTTCAGCGGCCAATATTATTGCACTATCATGATAATTATGAAACTCGGATGTTGAGCCAGTCATGTTAATAATAATTATTATAATCATTGTGTTTGACTCTTCCCGTTCCTTTCAGTACAAAGAAAATCTAGCTCGAAGTCAGGCTTGTAGGACGCGCACAAAGAATTTGCTCTCCGGAAACACTGCAGGATGAGCTTGACTTTCTACGTTTTGTCAGTCTTGGTAGAGAATGGTTATCCGGAGAAGTTAGTTACTTACTGAACTGTGCAACACGCTCGCCAGTCTTACAACACAAAAGAGCTTGTACCAGAACAAGTACCGAATTCTGCCAATTTTTCTGCCGACATTATCATGACCGTTACCAGGTTATAGACCACAGATGCCTAGCTGACGTCTCCCATATACAGAAGACATCAACCTGGAACCTCTCTGTTTTCAAAGGCATCAACGTGCAACATAATAGAGAGGTTTTGCATTCCGAAATTCGGCAAAAAGATTCGGCACGCGGGAGCGAGAGCGAAAATGCACACGAAGATTCGGCGTGTTTGTTCGGAAAAAGCTCACTTTGCCGAAAATATTTTTCGGATGCATTTTCTTGTAGAAGAGCGCTAGCGTATAGCGCGTGATTTATTCAAAGAGGTTTCTTATCTCGGCCTCGCTTGGCAGGCGTCTTTGGCGACATAGCATCGTCAGCTACCTCTGATTGCTCCTCTCCACTGCCTGTCGACTCTCTTTCGCCTGGAGTGTCCTCACCGTCAATGGTCCGTCATCTGTGTGGCTGAAAAGACTATGGCGACACGCATAAAATTTGACTTGGCCATGGAGTTGCCAGTTGGTGTTTCTGAGGCGACTGAGGAGGCAGGTTTGGCCCTCGACTCTTTGGGCGATCAAAGTTCGTTGGAATCAGCAAGAAAAGGAGCACGGGACAGGACGTTGCTGATGCTGGGGCTCACGAAATGAAAACACATCATTTTCGACTTGCAAAACAAACGTTGGTGCGAAAATTCGACATTTTGATGTTCGACAAATGACCGAAGAACGCTGTACCGAAATTCGGAATGCAAAACCTCACTAATGATAACCTCATACTTGTCATAGCCATAGGCATAAGTCGGACGCACAGGATGACTCCAGCAGTCTGCTACTGACTGGAGTGTAGTGACGTAGTGTAGATATGGCAGGGCAGGTCTGGCACAGACGTTTACATGGTTTACATGGTTTACGACTGTCTGGGTGGATCGATTTCGCACCTGATCAGACCCATGACATGTAATCCATGCGGCGCATGCAGGCGGGTCGGAGTACTGATACGTCGATGGCGAAGTGCGGAAATACGGCGACAAATATTCGGGGATTCTGCTTTGGCTCGGGGTGTGGCTGTTTTGCGTCAAAAAGATGTGATAGCTCGTGCGGCAAGCAGCTCGAAAAAGAGCCTGGACTTGCAACAGGGTGAGAACTCATTGAGGTTATTTTGAAGTGTACTTCACACCTTTCACAGGTCGCCTCGCTAGAGAGATGGGCTTTAGGGTGCTTACTCGCGCCAGGTAAACCGTGCGGGCAGCTTGTCCAGGCGGCGTACATTTTCCGTGGCGTTCCATAGGCATAGCTGGACTTGCCTTCGGAGTGGGTTTATCCGTTGCTACTGCTGCTTCAGGCTTCCACGGCGAAGCAAAGTTGCACTTGAAGAGACTTGCGGAGCAGTTGTTGACAGCCAACGCGAACGACCGCTGGCTATTGTGTTTGTTCGCTGGAGTAGACCACGAAGGTAAGCACAGCAGGCAGTGTCTATTAGTGCTACGCCTGTTCGCTCGTGGCCATTGTGCGCTTAGAACGGGGGTTCGCTTGCCAAATGAATTTCGCGGACACAGGCTGTCCTCGATGTTGATGGGGGGAAACATTCACCGCGCACGATTGGGAATACCCACGCCAGGGCAATTTACAGTGCAAGTCTCGCTACCTCAAACCAAAGCCTGGAGCCTAGAAAAAACACGTATTCGCCTTCTGAGCACGAAATCCGGCGGGACCAGGTGCTGGCCGAGCAATACGATTCATTCGTATGGTGCAGGATGACTGTCTGCAGCAGGTGTTGTCCATTCGCAGAGAACTACTTCCTGAAGTCAATGCTCGCAACGAGTGATTCAGGAAACGTAGCGGCGTAAACGACGGTTGCTCATTGAAATCCTCGCAGGATGATTCCACCACGACTTGAGACATGGTGTACTTGGTAGACAGAGACAGTGCTGAAAAATCAGCTCCGCAGATGCAACATGCGACTACTGTTAGTACAAATTTTCGTTCGCGAAATCTTTTGTTAGATCACTCCACCAGCAGGCTTGTGACGTACTAAATTTCGTTTTTCGTCGAGGTCTTTCAGTTTCACCCCGAACGTTCAGAAAAAGAACTTTAGTTTGGTACTTGTACAAACTTTAGTTATTTCGTGCCCACTAACGAATATAGGGAAAGTTAATTCCAAAGGCATGGTGGTGGCCTGGCACATGCGAAACTTCCTAAGCTGGTTGTGTTTCTCAACGCAATTGTTTAGCCGGTGGTAACGCGGACGTGAAAACTTTACTTTTTTACTTAATTCCAAACGAAAATTTGTACTTGTACAGTAGCCAGGGTTCGCGGTAGGCGCTAGGGTCACACTAGACACCCTTACCTTACCAAAAAACGTTATGTTGTAAGTTGTAACGATATTACCGTACGCAGCCCTAGCACTACACATACTGGTCTGTGCACTCGAACGCGGCACTACTCTATTCATGAGGTGTTGGATTTCTCTGCGGGTCAGCACTGGACTACGGCCGTCGCCCAGAAAAAAACTCCGTCCAATGCTATGCTGGCTGCACAGTAGCACATGCACTAGCACCACAGCTAGCACCACAGCTAGCACCACATACCTGTTGTGCACTGTACATACAGTGAATAATAATTTGTGTCCCTGCATGCGCTCAGTTCAGTTCTGGTGTACATGCACAGTAAATGAAGGGTTCCAATTCAAAACGCGATAGAGACCAAACCGGAGCTTTTGCGTTTTTTTGTCACGAAAGAATTCGTTTCACCCCACGGACATCTGCGCGTCGGTTTTACGGGTCAAAACGCGATACATCCCAGTCAAAATGATGCCTGAAGTTTGTGTTCTTCTGCAAAACGCGATAAAAGTCATTGACGCTACAGTGCACACCGAAAAATAACAAAATTTGTGAAAAAAGCTCTTCCTGAAATTTCCCCAAAATGGATTTATCTCATTTTGAATTGGAGCGTTTCAAATGCATTCTAGTCTAAGCCACCATGAAGCACCACCGGTGAACTCGTGCCATACCACTGTATGCATGGTGTCGACATCGACCGGACTTTTCCGGCGACGACTGTATGATAGTACACAGGTGCTGAATCAAATCCGAGCTAGTGAACACGTCGTTTAGCGCCCAGCACCAGTGTACAGCCCAATGGTTGTAGTGCTGGTGCTGCACCGTGCCTGAGACATCTACTCAGTCAATCGGATTTTATTCCCGTAGCTATGCAGAAGACGTTACTTTAGTAACGTCTGGCGCTAGCCAGGGTCCACACAGCTTTAATTTGGTGTTTGTTTGTGTGTTTGTTTGTTTGTGTCACGCCTGGCGCTATCCGTATCTGACGGCAAAAAAGCATAGGATGTTATAAATTTCTCAATTCTCCTATTTTTCTTTCAGGCATATCCTGGGATTCGAACCCGCACTATCGCCCTACATGCATTCCCCCATACACTTCGCATTCATACCCATTCTTCCAAGTTGCTTCACGTTATTATCTTGCGTTTGAAAGCCCTATTTGAATATTGCGGGGGGCCGGCTGTATGTGGCCAGCTGTGTTTGATGGTACGGGACGGTAGGGAGACGGTGTCGTATTACCCTCGATCGTACCTGTCCCGTACCTATCCCCTACCGTACCGTGCCATCAAAGACGGCTGGCCACAATGCATATTCAAATAGGGCTTTCAAATGCAAGATCACAATGTGAAACAACTTGGATGAATTAGTATGTATGCGAAGTGTATCGGGTGATGCATGCAGGGCGCGCCATAGTGCGGGTTCGAATCCCAGGTTATGTCTAAAAAAAGGATTTTTTAAAGAATGTATAACATCCCTATGCTTTTTTTGTCTAGGTTATCAAGGCAAAAAAGCATAGCGTAGGGCCCTGAGCTTCCAAGCTCTCTCGTTGAGTAGCACAGTTATTAATTTTGTCAGAGCTGCAGTCATTGAGCAAGAGGACAGCGCCTAGCAACAGGCCAGCGCCTAGCAACAGGCCAGCGCCTAGCGACAGGGCAGCGCGGGCAACAAGGCAGCGCCCAGCAACAGGGCAGCGCCCAGCAACAGGGCAGTGCGCGGCAACGTTGAGCAAAAGCCGCCTTGCAAGCAACACCAAAGCCATTTCTATCAGTGTTGCCAGGTTATTGTACTTTCTATGTGAACACACTGAGCTGGAACATGTGCTTTAAAAAATAACATTCTTTCTAAGTACTGGCAGGCTGAGTTGCAAATCGTTTTCTCTTCTGTTATTACTGTGCTGATACTCACAGTGTGGTGTGGTTGTAATGCCAAGCTGGCCAATGGCAATGCCTTGGAGAACATCTGCCGCTGCTGCTGCAGTGGTTGCAGCCATATTGCTCGCAGTAGGCGCTCCTTGTGTCCGATCAGGTATGTCCACACCGAAGAATTCAAATATCGCAAGTGATCTATCTACCCCCCCCCCCCCCCCCTCTCTCTATTTATATATCTATAGTCAACTTCGCGAATAACGACAGCGAATATAACGACAATCCGCGAACAACGACAGAATTCCCATGCCCGGAGCAAAGTCCCATCTAACCGTAATACATATAATGAGACTTTGGGTATAAAGACACTTCGCGAATAAGGACACTTTTCTAATGCGCCATCGAGTGTCGTTATACCCGAAGTTGACTGTATCTGACCATCTCCCCCCCCCCCCCCCTCCATCTCTCTCTCTCCCTCTCTCTCTCTCTCTCTCTCTCTCTCTATTTCAATTGGAAAACAAATCAAGCGTCTTTTGAAACAACAAAAGATGTACGGCGATCGATCCCGGAACAAGAGGGACCAGGATGCCTTTCTCAAGGACCCATATGCCTTCGGAAAGAAATTGTTTCAACCAACCAACCATGTCAAACCCACTTTCTCTGACACTACCTGCTTTGAGTACTTCCAACACACATATGCAGACCAGGATCGTGCCACTTCGTACGAATCCTGCCCCAGTGCAGGGAAGCCCCGGGATTGCACCCACCCAGTCGATGAGGGGACCCCTACATGGACTGAATTTCAGAATGTTTTGAAGAAGTGTCGCAACACCTCTGCACCGGGTCCTGACAAGATACCTTACATAGGTTGGAAGCTTTGTCCCTCCCTTCAATCCATTCTTTTCACCATCTTTGGGCGGGTTTGGGAGAGCAAGATCATTCCAAGGCAGTGGCAGGTAGCGTGTATCACACTCCTGGCCAAGGGGGAGGTGTCTGATGATCCTTCGAAATTCCGACCGATTGCTCTAGCGAACACGTCCGGGAAGATCTTTTTCACCTTAGTTGCAAAGCGCCTCTTGAAACATATGCTAGGCAATAAGTTCTTCGATGGTGACAACCAGAAAGGATTTATGCCTGCAAAGGCTGGGTGCTTAGAGCATACATCACTTTGTTATGAGGCGATGCGTGATGCAAAGACGGCAAAACGCCAAATTTGCATTGCGTGGATAGATTTGAAGAATGCATTCGGTTCAGTGCGCCACAATCTGATACAGTATGCTCTAACCCACTACAGCCTTCCTTTGCAATTCAGGAAATTAATTTTTTCCTACTACGACAGTCTTTGCGCTTTCGTCGTACAACCACACACACCCACCTTTAATTACAACATTGGTGTTTTCCAGGGGTGCCCCTTGTCCCCGGTCCTTTTCAATATTTGTTTCCAGCTTCTGCTGGACTCACTTGCAGCCCCTGAATTAAGTTGCCTCTCCTATGATTTTAAATCTGCCCCTTTGCAAGTGTCCCAAACAGCTTTTGCTGATGACTTAGGCCTCTATAGCAAATCTAGTGCAGGTTGTCAAAAACTCATTGCGGTCACGGAGGACTTTCTCTCGTGGACCCAATGTATGCAGGCGGCGCCGCACAAATGCAAAAGCAGTGCAGCAAAGCTTGTAGATGGCCGGTACAAACCTTACGATCCCTGCCTGACAATGTCAGGGAGGAAGATCGCTTTCATTGACACTGCAGAGTTCAAGTTCCTGGGGCGAAGGCTGCATGCTGATTGCTCTGAGCAGACCCAGCGGGAAGACATCCGTCAACTCACTGTATCTCTCATGCAAAAAGTAGATGGCTCTTGGCTTCAAGACCACCACAAGCTATGGCTTTACCACCATCTTGTAGTGCCCAAGCTTTCTTGGTCTTTCCAGGTTCTTGAACTCACACAAGGTTTTGTACGTGAACTGCACTTTATGTGTTTACCATTTCTGAAGAAATGGTCAGGCCTACCTCGATGCGCAAACTCTGCCATTCTTTTTATTGGCAGTCGCAAACGCTTTGGCTTACGCCTCCACTACCTTCCTACGGTGTGGAAAAAGTGCCAGTCCATCAAATGGCACATTCTTCGATCGAGTGGGGACGCGCGCATGAGGGCGCTGTACACTCTGCGTCGGAGTAAGGATGCGAAGCTGACAAAGCGATATGCGGCGACAATAGAGCTGGAGTGTGCAGAGGCATCAGTAGGTTCAGGGACTCTCCGTCCACCGTCATCTTCAAGTCATCGTGCAGGGTTGGGTGCTCGTGCTCCGAAGCAGCATTCCAAACCCCCGAGGAAGGATCTCCTTCAAACATTTGAGGAGATCAACGCGCAGGAGCAGATTTTGAGGCTGAAGACTCTTCAGGTGCAAGGCAAGTGGTTGGAGTGGACATCGGTGATGTGGCAGGACCTCTCGTGGAAATCCCTTTTGTACGGTGGTACTGGTAAGGATTTGAAATTTCTTCTCGCATCAACCCTCGACGTGCTACCTTCTCCGACGAACCTACGCCGTTGGGGAAACACCGTAGTGGATCCGTACTGTAGTTTGTGCCGTACCTGGGCCTGTACTACGCGCCACGTGCTTGGCGCTTGTCGCGTAGCGCTGGACCAGGGACGTTACACCTGGAGGCACGACAACGTACTCGGGGTCATCGTCAGGAACATGCGTGAGGAGATTCGAATCCGCACTGCTGCAAACACCGTACAAACCGAAAATTCAAATGAGCTTGACTTCATCTCGTTTTGCAAGGCGGGAGAGAAGCCAGTTCGCGTTCAGCCCAGACGAAAGTTGGTTACGACTGATCTCCTGTCAGCGGCCTCAGACTGGAAACTTCTTGTCGACTCAGTTAGTGCAAAGATTTCTTTCCCTAGCTGTGTTGCACTTACCACCCTAAGACCAGATATAGTTCTGTACTCTACGAGTCGTAGGATTGTATTCTGGATGGAGTTGACAGTTTGTGCTGAGGACAGATTCAGTGTCAGTAACTCGCGGAAGGACAGGCGGTATGCGGATCTGGCCGATCAATGCCGAGCAAACGGGTGGCAGGTCGTTTCTTTTTCGGTTGAGGTAGGTGTGCGTGGTTTCATCCCGGACTCTCTTCGGAGGGCTCTGAAAGCGCTTGGATTTTCTAATCGAAGAATAAAATTTATTTGTAATTTGTGCAGTAAGACGTCTCTGCGAAGCAGCTACATCATCTGGTTGCGGCGTCAACAAAAACACTGGTCGGAAGGTCCACTTTTCTGAGGTACTGTATGTGGGGCTCCGTTTATTGAGGTGCGTTGAAATTTATTCTCTTTATCTTATTATTTCTTTTCTATAATTTCCCCATATGAGTTCCTATCAGCTGCTGTGAACACCTTGAGTGGAGAGCGCTTGCTCGAGCGTTGAACCGGGTTCTTAATCCACCATACCCAGTTCGCAAGGCTGGGCGGGGTTGTGAGCAGGCTTTCATTTCATCTTTTCTTATTATTTCTGCTTTTCATCTCATTACAAAAATTCTGCGCTTTTTCTCAATCTGCGCATAAAATCTAGACTGACAACCTGCTTGTTAAATCATGCACCTGCTTTCAGGCGTAAAAACCCTGTTGTAGAGGTCTCAGTCCTCATTTGTTAGACTTACCTGTCTTTATAAATGTAACTTACTCTCTCTCTCTCTCTCTCTCCCTCTCTCTCTCTCTCTCTCTCTCTCTCTCTCTCTCTCTCTCTCTCTCTCTCTCTCTCTCTCTCTCTCTCTCTCTCTCTCTCTCTCTCTCTCTCTCTCTCTCTCTCTCTCTCTCTCTCTCTCTCTCTCTCTCTCTCTCTCTCTCTCTCTCTCTCTCTCTCTCTCTCTCTCTCTCTCTCTCTCTCTCTCTCTCTATCTATCTATCTATCTATCTATCTATCTATCTATCTATCTATCTATCTCTCTGTCTCTCTCTGTCTCTCTAACTCAAACGCACAATATCACATAATATCCTTGCACTCACACTGACATCAACGAGACAATATCCTTGCACTCACAGTCCACTCAAACAGACAATATCCTTGCACTCACAGTCCACTCAAACAGACAATATCCTTGCACTCACAGTTCACTCAAAGAGACAATATCCTTGCACTCACAGTTCACTCAAACAGACAATATCCTTGCTCTCACAGTCCACTCAAACAGACAATATCCTTGCACACACAGTTCACTCAAACAGACAATACCCTTGCACTCACAGTCCACTCAAACAGACAATATCCTTGCACACACAGTCCACTCAAACAGACAATATCCTTGCACTCACAGTTCACTCAAACAGACAATATCCTTGCAAACACAGTCCACTCAAACAGACAATATCCTTGCACTCACAGTCCACTCAAACAGACAATATCCTTGCACTCACAGTCCACTCAAACAGACAATATCCTTGCACTCACAGTTTACTCAAACAGACAATATCCTTGCACTCACAGTTCACTCAAACAGACAATATCCTTGCACTCACAGTCCACTCAAACAGACAATATCCTTGCACTCACAGTCCACTCAAACAGACAATATCCTTGCACTCACAGTTCACTCAAACAGACAATATCCTTGAACTCACAGTCCACTCAAGCAGACAATATCCTTGCACTCACAGTTCACTTGGAAATAACGTAGGGAAGTTACTCTGGCCGGGTTTCTCCTGTGATTCTTCATTTCACGTTTTGCTGTTGCCTGTGTCTGCAGAGGATCAGGGCGGCGCGGGACAAGTGAGCATCATCAACGGTAACGCCAGTGTGCGGTATGCTGAGGGCACGGCGCGATCCAGCCTCAGTGTAGCCCAGTGCCAGATCACGGCCGGCAGCGTTACAGACCTCATGTGGATTCAAAACGGCATGAAGGTGGTCAATAAGGTCACGGTTCCCCCTACAATCCTGCCGCTCGCCTGGACTGCAGCCGTGCCAGCGGCTGCCGGCAACATCATGCTATCGGACGCTGGGATATACAACTGCCAAGGGTTCTACACGGAGGGTCCTTTCGTTAAAAACGCGACCGCGCCTGAACATATCAATATACGTGTAGCTGGTGAGTGATAGCCTGAACACCCTGGTGCAGCGGTAGCCTGAACACCCTGGTGCAGCGGTAGCCTGAACACCCTGGTGCAGCGGTAGCCTGAACACCCTGTGGCAGCGGTAGACTGAATACCCTGGTGCAGCGGTAGCCTGAACACCCTGGTGCAGTGGTAGCCTGAATACCCTGGTGCAGCGGTAGCCTGAATACCCTGGTGCAGCAGTAGCCTGAATACCCTGGTGCAGTGGTAGCCTGAACACCCTGGTGCAGCGGTAGCCTGAATACCCTGGTGCAGTGGTAGCCTGAACACCCTGGTGCAGCGGTAGCCTGAATACCCTGGTACAGCGGTAGCCTGAATACCCTGGTGCAGCGGTAGCCTGAATACCCTAGTGCAGCGGTAGCCTGAATACCCTGGTGCAGCGGTAGCCTGAATACCCTGGTACAGCGGTAGCCTGAATACCCTGGTACAGCGGTAGCCTGAATACCCTGGTGCAGCGGTAGCCTGAATACCCTGGTACAGCGGTAGCCTGAATACCCTAGTGCAGCGGTAGCCTGAATACCCTAGTGCAGCGGTAGCCTGAATACCCTGGTGCAGCGGTAGCCTGAATACCCTGGTACAGCGGTAGCCTGAATACCCTGGTCCAGCGGTAGCCTGAATACCCTAGTGCAGCGGTAGCCTGAATACCCTGGTGCAGCGGTAGCCTGAATACCCTGGTGCAGCGGTAGCCTGAATACCCTGGTACAGCGGTAGCCTGAATACCCTGGTGCAGCGGTAGCCTGAATACCCTGGTACAGCGGTAGCCTGAATACCCTGGTGCAGCGGTAGCCTGAATACCCTGGTGCAGCGGTAGCCTGAATACCCTGGTGCAGGGAGAGCCTGAATACCCTAGTGCAGCGGTAGCCTGAATACCCTGATACAGCGGTAGCCTGAATACCCTTTTGCAGCGGTAGCCTGAATACCCTGGTACAGCGGTAGCCTGAATACCCTAGTGCAGCGGTAGCCTGAATACCCTGGTACAGCGGTAGCCTGAATACCCTAGTGCAGCGGTAGTCTGAACACCCTGGTACAGCGGTAGCCTGAATACCCTGGTACAGCGGTAGCCTGAATACCCTAGTGCAGCGGTAGCCTGAATACCCTATTGCAGCGGTAGCCTGAATACCCTGGTACAGCGGTAGCCTGAATACCCTAGTGCAGCGGTAGCCGGAATACCCTGGTACAGCGGTAGCCTGAATACCCTGGTGCAGCGGTAGCCTGAATACCCTGGTACAGCGGTAGCCTGAATACCCTGGTGCAGCGGTAGCCTGAATACCCTGGTGCAGCGGTAGCCTGAATACCCTGGTGCAGTGGTAGCCTGAATACCCTAGTCCAGCGGTAGCCTGAATACCCTGGTACAGCGGTAGCCTGAATACCCTGGTGCAGCGGTAGCCTGAATACCCTGGTGCAGCGGTAGCCTGAATACCCTGGTACAGCGGTAGCCTGAATACCCTAGTGCAGCGGTAGCCTGAATACCCTGGTACAGCGGTAGCCTGAATACCCTAGTGCAGCGGTAGTCTGAACACCCTGGTACAGCGGTAGCCTGAATACCCTGGTACAGCGGTAGCCTGAATACCCTAGTGCAGCGGTAGCCTGAATACCCTATTGCAGCGGTAGCCTGAATACCCTGGTACAGCGGTAGCCTGAATACCCTAGTGCAGCGGTAGCCTGAATACCCTAGTACAGCGGTAGCCTGAATACCCTGGTACAGCGGTAGCCTGAATACCCTAGTGCAGCGGTAGCCTGAATACCCTAGGGCAGCGGTAGCCTGAATACCCTAGTGCAGCGGTAGCCTGAATACCCTAGTGCAGCGGTAGCCTGAATACCCTGGTGCAGCGGTAGCCTGAATACCCGAGTGCAGCGGTAGCCTGAATACCCTGGTGCAGCGGTAGCCTGCATACCCTGGTACAGCGGTAGCCTGAATACCCTAGTGCAGCGGTAGCCTGAATACCCTAGTGCAGCGGTAGCCTGAATACCCTGGTACAGCGGTAGCCTGAATACCCTGGTACAGCGGTAGCCTGAATACCCTGGTACAGCGGTAGCCTGAATACCCTGGTGCAGCGGTAGCCTTAATACCCTAGTGCAGTGGTAGCCTGCATACCCTGGTACAGCGGTAGCCTGAATACCCTAGTGCAGCGGTAGCCTGAATACCCTAGTGCAGCGGTAGCCTGAATACCCTAGTGCAGCGGTAGCCTGAATACCCTAGTGCAGCGGTAGCCTGAATACCCTGGTGCAGCGGTAGCCTGAATACCCTAGTGCAGCGGTAGCCTGAATACCCTAGTGCAGCGGTAGCCTGAATACCCTGGTACAGCGGTAGCCTGAATACCCTGGTACAGCGGTAGCCTGAATACCCTAGTGCAGCGGTAGCCTGAACACCCTGGTGCAGCGGTAGCCTGAATACCCTGGTGCAGCGGTAGCCTGAATACCCTGGTGCAGTGGTAGCCTGAATACCCTAGTGCAGCGGTAGCCTGAATACCCTAGTGCAGCGGTAACCTGAATACCCTGGTACAGCGGTAGCCTGAATACCCTGGTGCAGCGGTAGCCTGAATACCCTAGCGCAGCGGTAGCCTGAATACCCTGGTGCAGCGGTAGCCTGCATACCCTGGTACAGCGGGAACCTGAATACCCTAGTGCAGCGGTAGCCTGAATACCCTAGTGCAGCGGTAGCCTGAATACCCTGGTACAGCGGTAGCCTGAATACCCTGGTACAGCGGTAGCCTGAATACCCTGGTACAGCGGTAGCCTGAATACCCTGGTGCAGCGGTAGCCTGAATACCCTAGTGCAGTGGTAGCCTGCATACCCTGGTACAGCGGTAGCCTGAATACCCTAGTGCAGCGGTAGCCTGAATACCCTAGTGCAGCGGTAGCCTGAATACCCTAGTGCAGCGGTAGCCTGAATACCCTAGTGCAGCGGTAGCCTGAATACCCTAGTGCAGCGGTAGCCTGAATACCCTGGTGCAGCGGTAGCCTGAATACCCTAGTGCAGCGGTAGCCTGAATACCCTAGTGCAGCGGTAGCCTGAATACCCTGGTACAGCGGTAGCCTGAATACCCTGGTACAGCGGTAGCCTGAATACCCTGGTACAGCGGTAGCCTGAATACCCTAGTGCAGCGGTAGCCTGAATACCCTGGTGCAGCGGTAGCCTGAATACCCTGGTGCAGCGGTAGCCTGAATACCCTAGTGCAGCGGTAGCCTGAATACCCTGGTACAGCGGTAGCCTGAATACCCTGGTACAGCGGTAGCCTGAATACCCTAGTGCAGCGGTAGCCTGAATACCCTGGTGCAGCGGTAGCCTGAATACCCTGGTGCAGCGGTAGCCTGAATACCCTGGTGCAGTGGTAGCCTGAATACCCTAGTGCAGCGGTAGCCTGAATACCCTAGTGCAGCGGTAACCTGAATACCCTGGTACAGCGGTAGCCTGAATACCCTGGTACAGCGGTAGCCTGAATACCCTAGTGCAGCGGTAGCCTGAATGCCCTGGTGCAGCGGTAGCCTGAATACCCTGGTACAGCGGTAGCCTGAATACCCTGGTACAGCGGTAGCCTGAATACCCTGCTGCAGCGGTAGCCTGAATACCCTAGTGCAGCGGTAGCCTGAATACCCTAGTGCAGCGGTAGCCTGAATACCCTGGTGCAGCGGTAGCCTGAACACCCTGGTGCAGCGGTAGCCTGAATACCCTAGTGCAGCGGTAGCCTGAATACCCTGGTACAGCGGTAGCCTGAATACCCTGGTACAGCTGTAGCCTGAATACCCTGTTACAGCGGTAGCCTGAATACCCTAGTGCAGCGGTAGCCTGAATACCCTAGTGCAGCGGTAGCCTGAATACCCTGGTACAGCGGTAGCCTGAATACCCTGGTACAGCGGTAGCCTGAATGCCCTGGTACAGCGGTAGCCTGAATACCCTGGTACAGCGGTAGCCTGAATACCCTAGTGCAGCGGTAGCCTGAATGCCCTAGTGCAGCGGTAGCCTGAATACCCTAGTGCAGCGGTAGCCTGAATGCCCTGGTGCAGCGGTAGCCTGAATACCCTGGTGCAGCGGGCCATTACGTTCATTAATATACTTCGAAGTAATAAGATCATTTCCAAACCCACCCAGCGTCTTGGGATGTTTTTGGGGGGGGGGGGGGGTGATAGGTGCCAGCTTTTGGGTGGCCTACCAGTTGATTTGATCACGTTTTCCAAGAATTCCTCTTCAACGTCTCGCCCCTTTCCTTCTCCCCCAGGGAGACGCAAGCAAACAGTTTCTGGCCGTGAGCTAGCACAAGTACAGGTGTGTATATGTGCGTGTTTGTTTGTGCGTTTGCGCTTGCGTCCATGTGCATGTATGTGTGTTGTTGTGGGCATTTGTTCCCGACAGAGGCCGTGAGGATTACTAGCATGGCTGCTAGCATGACCCTTCTCCATGGCCAGCCTTTGGACATAACATGCGTTGCTAGCGGTTACCAGGTGAACACGTCTTGGACTAGACCAAGCGTAACCACGGCACCGGGTAGCAGTTCCACGTCTCGTCTTGTCATTCCTGCAACGGATGTAGCACGTGACGACGGCTTATACACATGCACAGCGGAGAGCGACGCACTCTGTACCGTTCCGAGCAATCGCGCAGCGCAGCAGAAATGCTTCCCTTCGCCCGTCAGACAGGCGATCACCGTCACAATACAAGGCAAGTTCTGTTGTCCTTCGCACCCCATAGGTTATGCCGTCACTATTTCCACGCCAATTGACAAAAGTAAAAGTGGGGAGGCTTCCTGCAGTTTCATAAACAGTGAAGTCCACATGCTCCCTTCCATTAACACTGCAATAATTCAACTCAATTCCTGAAGATGGGCCTTGCCCGAAAATTCGAATCATTTAATATCTCTTTTTCTTTTAGTGATTGGTGTATCCCAGAGACCGTTTGGAGAGTGTTGTGAAGATGTATGGATATAGTGGATGGCTACGGTGGAGTCTTCGCGTTTTTGAGAAATAATTCAACTCATTTCACAATATTACAACGTTTCGGCAGATTGCCTTCCTCAGGTTCACAATTGACAATTGACGAAAGAGTACAAATATTAGCAGCAAAACTCACCCGAAGTGTGCCTGGCAGACCGCTGCTCTTCGAACGTAATACTCTTTAAGAAGGCAACACGGTCTGTACGGATGTGCTTCTACTTTCATACTTGTATTGGCTAAGTTCATTGGGTGCCAAGAAGTGTACTTTCGAAGAGCCTATTTGAAAGCGAAATGCCAACGGTGAACATTCTGTATCATATCGTTGCAAATAATGTGATTCTCTCCGGCACAGTGAACCCTCCTGGACGTGTACAGGCGCTGAAAAGGACGCAGGTAGCATCAACACATGCCACTCTGGCGTGGGATCCTCCGTCCAGCCCGCCGCCTGCTGGACCTGGTCAGACGCCAGTCACGTCCTATCATATCGTCTGCGTGTTTGGCACAAGTAGCAATGTCACGTCGCGTGTGGTCTCATCTCCGGCTACCGTCAGCAACCTACCGATCTTCTCCACAGTCAATTGCTCAGTCAGGGCAGAGAATGCTGGAGGAATCGGACCAGCGGAGTCGACAGGAAACTTTCAGACGCGCCAAGGTGGTAAGGTGGCACACACACACACACACACACACACACACACACACACACACACGCACACACACATACATGTATAATTTATTTTTATGTGTGTGGTCATGTGTATTCACCCGACTGTGTGTTTCTGTGCCACCTCTGTCTTGTGTGTATGTGTGTGTGTGTGTGTGTGTGTGTGTGTATTTGTGCATGAGTGTTTGTGCATGTGCATGTGTGTGTGTCTGCCTGTGCGTATAATTTACAACACATTGGAAACTGATCCATCGGTTCATTGACTGGAACCTTTTTTTCTTGTGTGGCGATTAACTTGAAGCTCCGTCTGGCAAGCCGACCATTGAAAAAGTGTCAGCTATGAGTGCCTCTATCGACTTCACGATCAAGGTAACCTTCTGCTGCTGTGTGTACTCTTTGCTTTAATGTTAGGCCCACAAGTTCATGCATTATTCATTTGGCCTGGGTAGCTGCTTGCGTGCCCATGTTTGCCATAGCTACCCAGGCCCTTTATATTGCGTCATTTCTCAGTCGAGCTCTCTCTCTTCAACAATCTCGCTCTCTTCAAATAATCTCAATGTAGTCGTTTCGTTCGTCCTGGTCTCTTGTCACGTCATCTATAATAAATGTCGTTCCCATCAGCCTACCTGTTCCCGTTGTCAGTTGTGTTAATGAGTAAGAAACCTCTCTTGTTGGGACCCAACAATATCAACAAGTAAAAGGAAAATTAGTCATTGCTGCTCTATTAAAGCTGGTGTCTCCGAAACGCTTGTTCACCAATTCTGTGTACGTACAAATCAACATTTATTTTCCTCTTTTCTGCAGCCGCCTGCGCTCGCACAGCGCAACGGTGTGCTAACCGGGTACAAGGTCACATACAGCAGTAACTGTGCCGCTTGCCCGGGCTGCTGCCAGCCGTCGTGCAAAGCGTCGGGCACCAAGAACATCTCCGTCCACCACAGCACGCAGGAAACGCCCATAGACCACCAGCTGGACACGCTGTGCAACGCTAATCAGTACACCGTCAGTGTGAGCGCTTGTTCGCAAGCCGGCTGCGGAGTCGGAGCGGACACCCACGTGGTTACGGCCAATGGAAGTGAGTTTTAAAGCCGTGTGAGAAGCCGTGTGAGATTCACTTCGATTTAGCTGTGTGCGCTTGCATACTTTGCACCCTGGTTGGTTTGTGCGGGGGTGGTCTGCATGCAGTGTGTGTTTCTTGTACTTCACGCTTCAGTAGTGCTGCTGCGTCTCGAGCTCCTGTCATCGGTTGAGCCTCGCTTCGCTTTCTCTTTCCCCAGTGAAATGCAGTAAGAATCCAGAACAGCGCAACTCACTCACGGTTGCGGACATTGAAATCGCGTGGAATGACCGGGGCCGGCGCCCTTGCTTGCTGAGCGCGTACACCCTGCATTAGCAGGACCAGCGGAGGCAGTTTTTGATTGGTCCGCTAGTTACTGTGATCATGGCCTTTCATACAGTTTGTGTGTGATTTAGCGGGTAGGCATGCCGTCCACAGTAGAAAACACATGTTGGTGGCCAAAAGGTCGGTCCGGTGATAACCTGACCAAGCGGACCGGTTCCGGCGGGCTCGACTAGCACTCTGGCACTGCATGAACCCATCCCTTCACTAAGTACACTCTACATCTTTCTGGTCCCGATGCTTCTCTCTCCTATGCGGTGTTTCAGAGCCGACAGCACCTGAGAACCTGACCGCTACCGTCCTGTCCTCATCGGCAGTGCGTCTACAGTGGCAGGTTAGTACCATATCTCCCCGAATAGAAGTCGCAACCTTTCACACAAAACTTAAGGGGCCAAAAAAGGGGTGCGACTTACGATCGAGCATGACTTACTACTGAAGTGAATATATCAAAACAATATAGTGCTCAAACCTGAAAATGGGGGAGCGACTTATAATCGAGTGCGACTTATTATTATTGTGCTTGTGCTTGTTTGCTTTGACATCACCAAGCAAGCTTGGCTAGCCTTCGCATAAGCCAAATGAACAGCAGAAAAGAGGAACGAGCGAAGCCAATGAGGAGCACACACGCTTGCACCCTACAGAAGAGGCAAAAAGGAATAAATAGGATAATCCTAAAAAACACGAAATGTCAGCAGCTATTTACTTCGATACATATAACTGGAAATGGGTGACTACAAAATGTCAACTATTTACTTCAACAAGTAAGACACGCACGCACACTCCTAGTATGGCCTACGCAGGTTGTAACCAAGTGCAAACTGAGCCCAAACTGGCCGGCGTCAGAGTACGAAACCAAGGTACATCCACTAGTAAAGGGAATAACTAAGGAACTATTTGATATCTGTAATATTATTATGCAGGTCTCTTGGGCAATTGAACATTACACTGAACGCAGCAGGTGTTCATCTACATGTTCCGTATATTTCTCAGAATTTTAATTGAACCTTTGAGAGCTTCCTGTTGAACGATAGCCAGGTTTCCTCCCTGAATAGTCCGCCGAGTGCATTGCGGAGTCTCTCCCACCAAGCCTCCCAGGGCACCAACAACCACAGGGATCACATCAACCTGGGTGAGGGACCAAATCCGGGAAATCTCCCACTTCAAGTCATGCTCCTACATGCACAGGCGTACACAGCCTGGCCACGCGGTGCCATGTTACTACTAGTAACACTGGTACTACTACTACTGTCCCCTGCTGCTAGGCAACAGTCAACAAACACTTCAGTTGCCATGGCGTCCTCAACAAGCGCATCCCGAGACGCCTCTGCCTCTGGACTACTCTCTGTTCTTGTTGCCAATGCTGGTTCCTCTCCCGTGCACTGACGAATGGCCTCGACATCGGCGGAGGAGAGTCGTCCGCTCTTCCGACGTTCGCGCAACTGGTTCGCCAAATCCACCTGGCTTGCCTGTCTCTCCAGGCCCCTGCTATACCAAGCATCGTGCATCCGTCTCATGTACCCACAAGACTGGACACCTCCAGGTGTCGCAATTACATAGCACTCCGCCAACGCTCTTACTTCCTCCGATCAGCGCTTTCTTCGGCCCTCCCGGACCCCATTTACGTCCATTGCTGAAATAAATACTATAATGAACGAATAGTTCAATTTTCTGAGCGAACGAGCCGTTGAGCTGCGCTAAGGAAGCTCGGCTCATAAGAGCTCAGAAAGTGCAACCGTTCTTAATCGCATTTCCGCGTCAATGTCAGCAACGTCCAAAGGACAAATGCCCGCAGATTCGCATATGCTGAATGGAGATGGGAACGGGACTGCCAACAATAGACAACACGAAAGGGGTCAAGAAAATCAGAACAATAGCTAGCACGAAGCACGACATGCATGCATGCGGAACTAATCGAGGCCCGAGAGGCACACTCTGTAGTCTCTATCAACAGAGTATCGTTACAAACGACAGCTTTAAGCAGACAAACAAATGCCAGGGAGAAAGATTGTTGCACTGTGCGGACCAACGACAGAGTTCCCAGAAGTATGTCATCTCTGATGTTAGCCGCAGACGGAGCGGCACAAGGCAGCCCACTGTCCGTGGTCCAGCGACAAGTCTCTGAGGGAGTGCAGGCCAGACAAGTCTGTGATGCCTTGCCTCACCGCACCCCCGAGGTCCCGCGGCAGGACAACCGGCAGTGTCGCCACTTGTCGTCACTTGTCGTCACTTCCACTAGTTATCCTTATTGCGAAACTAAAATTGTTCCTCATCGATTATATACATAATCATACGTAATAATAATCAGAGCTGTTGGGTTTCGCTCTACGTGATATCTCCACGACTGCAAA